GTGTGTGTGTGTGTGTGTGTGTGTGTGTGTGTGTGTGGTGGTGGTGGTGCTACCCTTAGAATCCAGAGGAGGGATCCCCTAAAAGTAGCGTTACAGGCAGCTCCGAGCTATCAAAATGTGGATGCTTGGAACTGAACTTAGGGCCCCTGCAACAGCAGCAAGTTCTCCTAAAGCTCTCAATGACCAGGCCAGCTCCTATTTCTAGAATTTCTTAAGGAAAGAGTTTATTTCCCTTGCTCATAATAGACCTAGGGTAGTTGCAGTAATGTCTCATGGTTTGAGACAAGGGTTTGGTACTGATGTCTTAAAACTTTCAAACAATCATTAAATGAGTGATTTTTAAATGTCTGAGTTGCACTCCCAAAGCAGCTAGCTTCTATTGTCCTCGGGAGCCATCAGCACAAGAAATATCTTCAGATAAAGAAGAAATTATCTTGGGGGAAATGGACTGTAGGTTGATAGAGGTACTCGGAGATGTGAGAGAGACAGAAGCCGAATGGGATCACTATTGTTCTCAAAATAGTTGAAGCTGCTGGATCTGGCGTGAGGATAAGGAAGGTGTGGAGGCACTTCCTGATAAAAGTACAGTTTCTCATCCAGGCTAAGTGATGGGGATGGGGTGAGTGTCTTAAGAGGCAATTGTTCTGAGCTGATGATTCTGCAGGGAGATAAGTGATTGTTTTAGTATCCTGCTAGACTGAAGGGCTCATTTTGAATGAGATGTGGGCTGTGATGTCTGGGGAAAGTAGGACTGAAGCTTCCAGAGCTTTCTGGTCACATGCTTTGGATTTCAGAAAGATGTGTTGTCTCACAATGGCAGAAAACTTGTGTTTAACAAACTTTCTTTGAAATTCTATCAACCCTGGTAAATTCCTTATTTACTTATTAAGTTTTGATAGTGTACAAACCCTCACAGCAAGTTATTCCAATTCTGTCCTGGGGAACCATGTACTTCCTATAAGAAAGAGCAGCAAGACTCACTTTCATTTTTACGAATGTATCTTCACTTATACTGAATGTGTAAGAGGGTTCTAAGTTAAACCAGCATTTGAAAACAGCCTCTCAATTTGTTACTAAATGCTATAATTGTTAACATGCTCTTGAAGGACCTAAATGACCTGACATTTATCTGCCTTCCTTGAGAGGAGCTATAAAACATTGGGGCTTCTTCTGTCTCATTCACTCTCTGGCCTAAGAGCTAGTATCATGGGGTGCATCCCAGTTGTTCAACTAGGTTTGTTGGATGGATGGATGGATGGTGGATGGATGGATGGATGCTAGTTCCTTTAACCATGCACCAAGGAGTACTAATCTTTCAGAACCCTCACCTGAATATCTATGCCCAAATAGTGGATTATTTGAAACAGAAATAAAGAAGTCAATCCTGTTACAATAGCTACAATAAATAAATAAATGACCTCGAAATAAAATTAACTAAAATAAACCAACGATCTCTACAATGACAGCATCAATGTAGAAGAACAGTGCAGACACCAAGAAAATGGAAAGATCTGTCTGCAGATTAGAACAACCAAGATCATGAACATGTCCATACAACCCAGAGCAATTTGTGAAGCCAATGTCATCCCTATTAAAATACTAGTGACAGGGTGAAGAACCTCCTTCTGTGTATATGTTTGTCTTACTGGTTTATGAATAAAGCACTGTTGGCCAATAAGAAAGCAAGATGGGTGGGTCTAGGAGTTGAGGAGGATTCTGGGAAATGTAGTAGAGGGAGAGTTGCCATGTACTCTCCAGGAGCTGAAGACACATTCCACCAGCATCCTCGATAAGTCTTTATAAATATATAGATCAATGATTATGGTTGATAATTAAGACTGAGCTAGCAGATAAGAAATCCTAGTCATTGGCCAGCAGCATTGTACCTAATATAAGACTCCGTGTGTTATTTTGGACAACCACTTGGCAATGGGGCTCAGGTGGTTGGCAGAAAGATTTATTGTTACAATACACTACCTCACTTCAACAATAACAACAACAGAGCTATAGTCACCAAAACAGCACAGTATTGCCACAAAAAAGAGACAAAAAAGGCCACCCCCCCAAAAGAGATTGAAGAATAAAGTATCAAACTAGAAAGCCCAGGGCTAAGCCCATGCATCTGCAGCCAGCTGGTTTTCAATAAAGATGATAAGAAGACATGCTGGAGAAAGGATAACTTTTTAAATAAATGGGAGGGATATGAACTCAGGTCCTTGTGTTTCCATGACAAACTCTTTACCCACTGATCATCTCCCAGCTCCCTTTAGGCTCTAATTTTATGGATGGTGAGTAATGAATTCTTCTCACATAATTGCTGCATATTGCTTCTGTTGGTTAAAAAACCTGGTCAGTGTTTCACTGTTTCTGGTCATGTCAGCATTAGGCACACACAGAGCCACCAACTTTGGTTGGAGGACTGACGATAAAATAGTACTCAGGTGGGGTGGATGGCACCTAATCTATTCCCCTGAGCCCTCATTCTCCATTTGGAGTTCCCTTTGGTCTCTGTCTTTGAGTTTCTTCTGAGGTTTTCAACTGAATTTTAGTGATATTTCCTGGGCTACTAGAAACAGGTCCCTTCAGAAAGCTGAAGAGCAGATCCCCATCACCCTACCTGTTCCCTTCAAGATCACACACATAGGTGACTACTGGAGACCAGTCAAAGGCCCCCGGCTCCTTCTTCAGCCACTTCTGCAGCTCCCAAAGGTTCTGGTCTGTGTAGTCACTGACAATGATCTCCTTGAAGGACTCACAGGCAGACAGAAGCTGATAGATGGTGGGACCAGAGCCAATGTCAATCAGGAGGTCTCCCTTCACACCACCTGGAACAGAAGAGGCAGAGATCAGGCATCATAAAAGGATCGGCTGAGCTGGAGTTGCACTGTTTTTACTGGGATTGTGCCATAAGTGTCCCCAACTAGACAGCCATACCACTCACCATTCTCCATTAACATCATTTGGTAAGATATCATTCTACTTTCTATCCCTGCCTCACTCATGCCCAGTCCTGAATGGAGGCATATTTTCCTGGGCTATTTTGATGTCTGCAGGTGGGCAATATCTACATTGGTATACAGACCACTGATCCCAAAAGATGATGACAACGACAATGAGAAATCTTTTAAGGAGTGCTGTAGGAGATACCTTAGACACTCCTACTTGGGGCTGGAGACAAGTATGCCTGGCCACGCCGCTTGGCCAGGGTGGTCAGGGTGACATGAGGAAGGTTTAAGAGTGAGGAACACGCTTGTGGGGGTCCCTCTCCTACTTACCTTGCTTATTGCCGGCTGGGTAGACTGTTTTGGTGAGTAGGATCCTCCTAAATAAATAACCTTATGTCTCTAGACCTGACTCCATATTGCTATTTCATGATAGAGTACGTTGATAGAAAGTTCATTTTTTGTTGTTGTTTAACAATTGAATATAGGAACTGGAGAGATGTCCCAGCATACTCCACACTGATGAGGGCTGGCACCCATGTGACAAGCCAAGCATCTCACAAATGCCTGTAACCCCTTCTCTGATAGGAGCAGAGAGGAGAGGCTCTCTGGGACTTACTGACTTCCAGCCTAGCCAAAACACAGCCCTAGGCTTAGGAAGAGACCCTGCTTCAAAGAGATAGAAGGAGAGAGTGGTGGAAGACGACACCTGATGCCCTCTTCTGTCCCCATGCATGCACAGGCATGCAACATGGGCACATACACTTACACAGACACCAATAAATAAAAAAAAAGTTAAAACATTGAGATTAGTTATGATCAAAGCACCTAGTGCTTAATATTTGAGAAGGTCTTTTACCACATGGGAAAATATTCCTTTCAATTAAGATTAGAATCAAACTTTCAATTTATTTACTTTTTTGAGACAGAGTCTCACTCTGTAGCCTAGGGCTTCCAGAAAAGGTGCTATGTACTCCAGGCTGACCTCAGACTCGTGGAAATCCTCCTGTCTCTTGAGTCCTGTGCCCCAACACCCAGCTCTCCTCTCCTAGACTCTCTGAGGTGTCCCATGAGATTGAATGGCTCCTTTAAGCCACCTGGAAAGTCACTGTAGATGCAAGGTCAGCACTCAAGCCCTCTGGCTTCATTTTTCAAGACCATATAAATCACAGTGGATATAAAAGATCTTTATAAACTATAAGATAGCTAAGCCAACATTAACTTTTATTCTCGTTAAACAAATGAGTGATGCCAAGAGACTGTCCAGGAGCGATGGCTAGACACAAGTCCAGTCATCCCCTCAGACTCAGTGTGACTCATATTTAGATGGACAAACTTACCAAGGCAGAATATCTTAAAAAGATTTTCCAGCAGATGCCTGAGGATTTCGTTTTCTGCACAGTGTCTGGACCCAAAGCTGTAATATTTTTCCAAGTAATCCCGGGGATTAAAATGACTTAGATAAGTGTCCTTGGAGGTAAAGCCGGATTCCATCATGTCTCAGCTCTGTGCCACCGGCCCACTGCTCTCCTGCCCCCTCCTCTGGAAGTCAGGGAGTCACTCTGGGAAGTTGGCTTTTGGAATCTTGAGCTGTCAATCTTCCTTCAGCTTGGCCCGGCCCTTACAGGCTGGTGTTTGTTAAACACCAACAGTAAAATAGACCGAAGACTCTTCCAGGAAGTGATGAAATTACTGGAGACAGGAGCTTAGGAGAAGAGGAGTGGCAGAGGGAAGGTCACACGTGGCATGCCACCCTCTGCCCAATGGTGAAGGTCAGCTGCAAAGGCTGCAGATGGGAGAAATGGTCCAGCTCACCGTGGAGATTGCTTAACTCCTGGAAGAAGCCCTAAATGTAGAGGAATTGGTCATCTCCAAACAATCCAGTCAGTCTTCCTGTTCTTGCAAGGATTCTTCCCAGAAAAAATAAAGTCATAATGAATGGTTCCAGTTTAAACATATGAAAGAAAGAAAAGAGGATGCCGAGGGGAGAAAATGTGCTCATGGCTAAGGAATGTTGGCTAAAGAGAAAAGTCACAGATGAAGTCTGGAAAGATTAATTTTTAAAACATGGACAGTGTGTTCTTGGATACAGCATGGCTGATGCAATCATGAGCTCACTGTAGTTATGGTTACCTGCACAAGGTCAAGCCAACAAGATCAGGCAAAACTCCAGCAGGCAGCACTAACTGGATTCAGTGAGGTCGTGAACATGGGAGGGGAATGTGTAAGAGGTGGTAAGAAGCAGTTGAGGATGGGTATGTATAATCAAGGTACATTGTAAGGATGTATGAAATTATCAACGAGAAAAGATATTCTTAAAATGTTTGAACGTCAAATCAATCAAAAATGGTTAAGGGCTAAAAATTTAACTCAGGTGGTAAAGTGTTTGCCTGTCATGTGTGAGTCCTGAGGCTTGATTCCCCAGCACTGCCTAAATCTGGCATGATGTGCAAGCCTGTAATTCCTGCACTTAGGGAAAGCGTCAGGAGTTTAGGTTCGTCCTTGGCTTCATAGCAAGTTCAAGGCCAGCCCAGTGCATCTATGACTTCCTCTCACCCTTGCTACTGCTCAGCCTCCCCAAGCCTCGCTGCTGCTTCCAAGAATTCAGATCTCAACAGTTGTTTCAAAGCAAGCCTGAAACCTCAATTTCCTTAAAGAATTCCTTCTGTTTCCATTCCTGGGTTCACATTACCAATTAGAATTCACCCTTTCTAGACCTTGATTTTTGTACTAGCATCTATTTGCTCCTGGCTTTGTCTGTCAATTATTTCTCCCAAAACTATTATAGAAGTGACAAACTAAGTGTCTAGTAGACTAAGAACCGTGCCTCCATCCAGTCTTTATATTTCCTGCTCTACATGGTAAGTTGCTTCACAGAGTAGCTGCTCAAACAACATCTGATTAATCAGCCTGAGCTGTGCCTGGTATCCCAGAGTCAGGATTAAGCCAGGGCTCTTCGGTCAGAAGAGAAACTCACTCAAAGAATTTCCACTAAGGCTGGGGATGGAGGGTGGCCCACAGGTTACAAGTTAGACCCTATCTCAAAAGAAAAAAATTGGCTGATAATACAAAATGAAAACAAATTTCAGGAAATAATTGGTCAATGTGAACCAAAACCCTTCAGGCAGTTTAGTTATCGTCCCTTGTTTCTATGTCCTTTTGCCTGTCTTTGGGGGTCTAGAGTTCTCTATTTCTCTGCACTTCAGCTTCTTTTGCTCATCTCCTGAATGAAGTTTCATTCTGACCTTTCCAAATGGTCAAGGGGGATGGAAAGATCCAAGTTCTCTACATCCATTGTCAGGAAGGAGAATAGGATTCTGCCATCGCATTTACTCATGAAAAGAGGAAATGCCTCCCAGTTCATCAGATGCACAGATATTTAAATGCTAATAAGAAGATTCTACAATTAATTTTAGGCCAATACATTACAAAACTTAGACTTAGGAATTCCTAACTGAAGGTATAACACCAAAATAATGCTATAACTCTTAAATAATTCAAACTGAAAATTATGTCCACTCCTGGTACAATGCCTTACCAAGTCAGCTTGCCTTCAAAAGTAACAACCCCTGGAGCCCACGAAGGAAGGAGAGAACCAACTCCCTCTATTTTGTTCTCTGACCAATACACATATGCTTGGCATGAGCACACATACACACACACACACACACACACACACACACACACACACACACACACACAGTAGGAAGGAAGGAAGGGAGGGAGGGAGGAAGGAAGGAAGGAGGGAAGGGAGGGAGGGAGGGAGGAAGGAAGGAAGCAAAGAGTAAATTATTTCACACAAAATTCTTCAACAGCTATGTTTATAAGTTTAGGAAAAATCCAAATACCAAGGTGATTTATGAAAAGAAAAAAATTACAAACTAAAAATTACTCATACAAAAATCCTAAACTGCCTAGTCAGGAAAAACCACTCAAACTTCCATGGTTTTAATACACCATGAGAACTTCTGAAGCATTTTGCACATGTCACTAAACCTTACAACAGTTCTGTGAGTTAAGACTGTTGTCTCCGTGCCAGCATACAAGGAGACTGAGGTACTAGAGGTTCAGTTACTTAACTGGGCCACAGCCCTGTTTTAGAGCAGCCCCAGTTCAAAGGCCTGTTCTTGTGACAGCTATACTACAACCAAAGCAGTTTGTCCCTGTGACACACAATAATCTAACAATTAAAAATTCAATGAGTACTAGCCATCCCATTTCCACATTACAGGAGAAATCACTAGATCCATTCAATAGATGCAAAAGAAATAAGAAAGCTCAACTTCAATATCCATCCACAATAATGACTCTTCTCACGCTGGAGATAGAATGAGGAGTCTTTAGTCTACTGGTAAAGATTATGTGCAAACATTTTGCTAAATAATCATGCATTTGAAAGCTTTCTCTCTGACACGAGGTCAAAGATACCTGTTTTTACAATCATCAGGGTTTTTAGTTTATTTGTTTGGTTTTAAGGCAGGGTCACTTTATGTATCCCTGTCTGTCCTGAAACTTGCCTTGAACTCAGAGATCCACCTGTCTCTACCTCCTGCTGTCCTGAGATGAAAGGTATGAACAACCACACCCTGCCACAGTTATCAATTTTAACAACAATTTTACCAGAACTACAAGAAATATAGGGGATAAGGAAAATAAGAAAGAAATAGAAGGATTAGAAAGAGAGGATCCATTGTCAATATGGTGCTCTATATAGGAAATGAAAAGTAACTACACATTTTCCAGGATGAATACAAGAAGCCAAACTTCTGGGCACAAAATCAACTGACAAAATTAAATTCCTTTTCAGTTAGCAACAGTTATAAAATGAAGTTCAAAATCAGCTTTTCCCATGGTGACATTAAAAACTATGAAGTACCTGCAACAAAATATATACAGGACGTTAATGGAGCAAATTATCAAGTTTTATTGAAAGCCATTAAAGAAGACCTAAATAAATGGAGAAAAACACCACTCTGTGGAGTAGACAGCTTAACACTGTAAAGATGTCATTTCTCTCCAAATTGATTTATAGACTCAGTAAAATCCCAATTAAAATCCCAATAGGTTTTTTTCTAGAACTTGACAAGTTGGCTTTAAAATTTATATGGCAGTGCCAAGGGCCAAGAGTGGGTACTCGTGGCGAAGAAGAATGGGGTGGGAGGACACCCTGTACCAGATATAAATACTTATTAGAGAGCTATCACCATTAAGGCTGAGTGGTATTGGCACTGGGCTTGATAAATAGACCCATCCGTGGACCAGCGTGGAGGGGCTGGGGACAGACCCATTCTGTGTACATTTGATGTATGCACGGGTGGCAGCTCAGATCAACAGGGAAAGAGATAGACTTGCAATAAATAGCACAGGGATAGCTGAGTATCTGTAGGGAGGAGAACAAAACGAGAGCCCCTCCTCACACTGTGAGCAAGAATCAATTAAGTCTTATGAACCAAAGATACATAAAAAGCAAAAGTCTGAAGATGCAGAGGGTGATATAGAAGAATGTCTTCATAGCCTTGGGTGTCAGGAAGAATTTCCTAAACTAGATGCAAAAGCCATTAGTAGTAAGTGAAAGATTTATAAATTTGAGTACGTGGCAATTAAGAATATGTGTTCCAAACATATGTTAAGGGACAGGAGGACCAGTTCACAGAATGAGAAAATACTAGACACACAGAGCTGACAACGAACTGGGAATTCATTTACTTACATATTTTGGATTATTGAGACATGGTTTAACTATGTAGAAAAACCTGCCCTCAAACTCATAGAGATCTGCTTTCCTACATGGTTTAACTATGTAGAAAAACCTGCCCTCAAACTCATAGAGATCTGTAGAAAAACCTGCCTTCCAGGTGCTGGGATTAAAGCATGCACCACCAGGCCTGGCTGGGATACAGATTTATAAGACAGTTTTGAAACCCTAAAGAAGATAAAGACGAAAAGAGAAGACTCAAACAGATCTTTTATAACAAAGGAATGGCCCACAAATCTATGGAATAATACTTAATTTTATCAATGAAATGAAATTTAAACCATACTGAGATATTACTACACATCCGTCAAACTGGTACAGTGACATGTGACCAGAACCAAGGACTTTGTCAAAAGACAATACCCTACATTTTTGGAGAGCAGAATCATTCACATTAACAGTAGACATGAATGTATGCATACACAAGATCCAGGGACTACACTCCAAGGTGTCTTCCCAGAGAAAAACTGGGACACATCCACATGCTGGATTTACAACATCATTTGGAATAGCCTCTTTATGTTACTTGCTGCTGCTGCTGCTGCTGTTACTAAATACCTGACAAAAGCAGCTCACAGAAAGGGTTGTTTATTTTGGCTCACAGTTTGAGGGCTTGCAGTCCATCACAGCAGGAAGGCATGGTGGTAGGAGTGCGAGGTGGCTGGTCACATTGTGTCCACAGACAGGAAGCAGAGAGAGATGAATGTCTGTGATTGTTGTTTATTCATTCCAGGACACCAGCCAATGGGATGGTGCTGCCCTCACTCAGCATGAGTCCTTACTGCTTTAGGTAAACCTCTCAGGAAATGTCCTCAAGGACACATCCGATGTATGTCTCATGGGTATTTCCAAATCCAATCAAATGGAAAATGAAGATGAACCATGGTGACACCAACTAGAAACAGTATCACCATCCAGCAATAGTAGAGGAAATCAACTAGGAATAAGCCACAATGAAAGGAGTAAATGACAGCTACTCCGGCATCAGCAGGGGATTCTCCAAATGTTGTAAGGTGAAAGCAGCCAATCACAAGATCTTGTAGGTTCCCTGGCTTTGAGGCTTAAAGGAGCAGAAAGCAAATTGTACTGTTTAGGGAGGCAGAAAGGCTGCAAGGAGAAGCAGAGAGTGTTCCTGTTAGCTGTCACACAGTGGATGATCCCTGAATGCCAGATGGAGGAAGGAGGAACCATGCTCCACCAGGGAATGCAAGAGAAAGGGAGACTTTTAAGTCCTGTAGTGTTAACCAGTGTCCATCCATAGC